GTAACTTTTCACTATTCGACCGATTTCGCTCAGTCTTTGTATTTTGCTATTTGAAATTGAATTCTTTAAAATGATGTAAAAAAATGTCTATCATACAATTCAAAAATGTTCGACTGTTATTAAATGAAATAATAATAAACATTTACTTAACGCTATATTTTTCTTGGAATTATCTTTGAATAAATAAGTTTTATAATTGTGAGTGGTGCAACAATCCACGCCGACCGGTCAGTGTAGGGGGCAGAGAACTGTCATTGCATCCGAAAGGTTCTGGGTTCGAATCCCGGGCAAGGCAGGGATGTTTCTTTCTCTTTGTGCGTTCTATGTTCTTTCTCCTTTGTGTGTGCGAATGTGACCCGTCCTATAAACGGGTTTGTGGTTGAATGAATGGTGTGGTAGAAGTCGAATTCTTGGCCATAGATGGCGCCACTGAAAAACAAGAACAATCGCACCCCCTCTGCCTAAACAGGCATACGACGAAAAAAACAGCAACAACAATCCACTTAAAAAATTCTCGAGACATTGTAAAGTACGTTAAAACTATAATTAATATTAATTGATCCTAATTTTGGACCACTTTCCAGAACCTAATTATATGGGGATCATATTTCCTAGATTGCGGCTATCCGTGATATGTTGGGACTCGGAAATCCGAATCCGTTACAAAAAAGGCATGTTCATTCAGAGAAAGTAGGTTTCTGTATGTGATTAATTCGTAACTTAAAATATCGTCTGCAGTAATTGATTAGCATTTCTGAGGTCACCCCTCGTACTATTAAGACTGAGTTTCTAAAACGTGAAGATCCGATCTTTAGATTAAAAATTATTCAGGATGGACCGTTTTCTTTCTTATTGTCGCACTGTAGTGCGACGATAATTGCCAAACTATGATAAAAATAATTTCCTTGAAAAAAGTGCACTTTGCCAAAGTTTGTATGCTATTCTACATATTGGTGTTATTTTAATCCAAGAAAAACTGTATTTAAAACTCAAAAACGCTAAAATTCCGAATTATCTCAAAATAAAACAATTTTATTTTTAAAATTATCTGACTTGAATCATTTAGATTAATTTTATTTATCAAGCAAATATGATAATTTAGCACAGAGGTAACAATTTTGGTGGGAAGGTAGGGTACAAAGATTGAGAATCGCATAGTCTATGACAATCGTACGTCTCTAAGAGTTCCTTCTCTTTAGAAACTGCTGTTCGTGCGCATTTCAACTATTACGTTAATTTATCTAAATTATGTTAACACTATGATTTCTAATAATAAATGTGGAAAATTGCGTCTCGGAATAGTAGTGTAGTATGTTGGTTTGGCGTATAACTTGCTGAACTTACCAATTTGATTGGCTGATTCGTAAATTAGTATAAAGCAGCTTTTTCTTAGGATTATGCGAAAGCAGTTTTTGAACTTATTTATGATACTTGGTCAAATGTGAATAGTTGGGAAAAACAATACAGCACAGAAAATAACATTATTTATTACATCTCCTTCAAATAAATATTCCGTTCAGCGAAAATAAATTCTATAAAGAAAATAATGTTTTAAAAAAAATTATTTATGAAGTCTTAAGGCGTTAAAATACTGAAGAAAGAAACCCCCCCCCACAAAATTATAATTATTTGGTCTAATTTCGTATAATATCCGCTTGAATTTACATAAAAAAGAATTTGAAATACATATTTTGATTATATATAATATACATTCTAAATACTTGTTAAAATAAAAATCCATATTTAAAATATATATTTGTCCCATGTTTTGTTTTTCGCAGATAAAGGTTTTCTTTACCTTTCTAGTGATTACACTTTACTTTTCAGAGCCATATACTCATATTTTTAAGCTGCTAATCGATAATAAAACCTTTTTAATTGTATTATTTAATTGTATAATAATAAATTCTTTGTAATTTATCATCCTACTTCCTACAGCAGTGATTCATGTTTTTTTCTTGTCTCTATGCCAGATAAACTTTCGTTCGCAAATTAAAAATCTAAAGAACTTCATTTAAGCTTTGTCCTTGATGCCACGGATACAGTTACATTCTCTTGCCTTACATAAACAAAAAGCCGAGGGCAAATTCATTATAAACGTTGACCTCTCCTTGTTAAATATATGTATTTTCGTCTACATGATCAACTTCTAAAATAAAAAGTAACCACTTAAAGTTACTTGATATTTTGAATCATGTAGAAACGATTTAGTTACATAGATTCACTGAAAAAAATAAGCGTAGAATCTTTAAGTTCAATTAATTTGTCATGGTTTGAACTGCGAATCTTTCAATAAACGTTATTAGTTCCATAACAATTTTTTTTATGTGTTCGTTATAGGATTCAGACGATTGAAAAAGTGTTATCTGTTTTGTATTTTAAAACTTAGGTGTTATTATCTAGCTGACTTATTTGAAAAGTTTTTTTTTCTTAAATTGATTGAATTCAAATTTTGTTGTCTGGATTGATGTTTATGACTACGATTGATTGACTACGTTTTTAAAATTTATTTAGCAATGATTTTAATATTTAAAGCATGTTTACCCACTAGTAAGTTAGATAGAATAGTTTAGATAGATTAATAGTTAAATTAGTAATTTGACGGTCGAAGATGCAAATCTGACACACCCAAACAAATGGAGACAGACATATAAATATATTTTTGAGTTTAAATTAGAAATTTAAATTACCATCGGTCCTACTTAGCATATTTAAGCATTAAGTAACTGAAATTGCGCTTTCGTTGGTGGAATTTTGATCATTTTATCAAAAGTTATAAAATGTGATTCGTTTTCCCTTTGAGACTATCCCTATATAAGTTTTCAATTTATAGTGAACTAACTAAATACCTGTTCTTCGTATGGGTTGAAAAGTAAATAATCAATAATTCGGTATTTTACACTACACGAACACTTCGGTATTTTACATTGCACGGTTGATTGCTTAAACGTGCACGAATCTGAAAGTCATATACCGATACAAATAATTAAGCTAAAACAATTTCACTTCATTTGTTTATTATTACTTAGTGTCTTTTATGTCATTAAGTAATACATGTTTTTTGAAGCTCATCCCTTCAAAATAAAGATTAACTTTATACGGCATCATTACCATAATGCAATTACTTGAGATCTCTACCACAGTCGATAATTACCGTTTCAACAGTTTTTTCCGGTACTAATTCCTTTCTGTAGGGCGTAAAAAAACTGTTTTCACAGTATTTAAAGTTGGTATTTCAGTACCAATATTAGTATATTTGGTATCTCTTAAAAAAAAGATTTACTTTATGTCAATAGTACCTACTACCAAAATTAATCATAGTTTATAACCGCCGTTGAACAGCTGACCAATTCAGAAGACAAGGGAACTCAATTATTGGGAGAATTATTGGGAGAAATCTGCCTGCAAGGAGGACTTTTTATGGAACAAACCCGCATTTGTGTTACATGTTGAGGAAAATCACGAAATCCTCCCATGGTTAGTCTGACGGCAAGTGGACTCTACCCCATGATCCGTCTACCACTGAGGATATCCTTCGCCAGTACTGTGGTCGTTGCGAGCAGAGTACGGAATTCGTTTCAACCAGTCATCGCTGGGATTCGAACTCGATTCACATCATTGGAAAGCGAATGCTCTATCTCCTGAGCCACCACGACTCACCAAAATTAATTAAGCAATATTGGTGTCAATAATAATACGACGATTTTTTTAATGTTCTCCTGACGAATAAGTACCACTTCTGTTTTCCATTAATTTAGCTTTTTGATACGAAACTTATTATGCCAACAGTACCTACTTCCAAAATTAATTAAGCATCAGTATCATTATGACCATTGTATACGGCTCTTCTTAACTACTAAGTACGAATAAGTACTTTTTTTGTTCTCCATTAAATTAGTTGTATTTTATTTTATTTTATAATCGTCGTTGAACAGCCGACCCAATTTTTTGGGTCTACGACTTCTAATGTACAATGCCGTAGCACTGTAATTTTGAACCCAATCCAGAAGACAAGGGAACTCCTGGATCGAGTATTGGAGAAATTTGTCTTCGTGGAGGATTTTTTGATGAAACTAACCTGCATTTGCGTTACATGGAGAGGAGGACCACTTGAACCTCCTATGGTTAGCCTGACGGCAAGGGGACGCTAACCCATGATCCGTCTACCACTGAGGATATTTCACGTCAGCACTGTGGTCGGTGCAAGCCTTCATATCGATTGGGATTCGAACCCGGTTCACCTCATTGGAAGGCGGACGCTCTATCCCCTGAGCCAGTGCGGATCAAATTAGTTGCATTATTTAAGATAAGTATAACTTTTGAAATAACAATTAGGTTACGTTATTATTAGCGTCGTTTTCTCTCGTAATAACTTAAAATGGCAGCCAAAAATAAATAATTCATGAAAATGTGTAATAAAACTAGTTTTCGATTTTGAGAGTTAAATAATATTTTTATAATCCTATGGAAAACTCTTTCTATGGGATGTAGCGTGTGAGCCGGAGCGGGATTTAATGTTGAGAGCTTAGGTACACTGTCTACGAACGCAAAGTATACTAAATTTGGTACGGATCTGTACATAATTTTGGATTTGTGTACGGAATATATATACACCTACACCCATATATATGTCAGGACTTTGATTTCACGTCTCCGCATATGAACGTCCCCTGACCTGAAGGTCCGAGAAGATGAGGGACATCCCAGAAGAGGGAAAAAAGATTTAGAACGAAAAGGAAAATCTCTCGTGAGAAATCATTATAGAGATGCTGAGAGAATATACATATAAAGTTAGAAGGGAGTAACGAGGCCCCAGAAGTAGAAATCTGGACATTTTTTTTAATTATTTTTATTTTTTTGAAATATGTGTAATTGTAATATTATTTAACACAATAACCCGTAACCTGAAATGAGTACATATCTATGATATTACTCCTCGTCGTCTTTGAGTGTACTAAAACGTAAAGCGATGAAAAATCTTTTCACAATACATGCTTGCGTACAATTAAGTGTTCTGTTTTATTTGTATAGTAGATAAAAAATTATGTAGCATAAGTAAAAATTATTCATCAATGGTTCTATCATCTCCTGAAGGCAGTGGTGTTTATGCGGGATTTCTAGGATGGGCACAAACTTCCATTTTACCAACAAGAAAAAGCAAATTTTTGTCTTCATCCGTTGCCTTAGTCAAACGGAAATGTTTAACAATAGTTGTAAGGAAAAGAAATGTCTGAGCCATTGCATAGCCTTCTCCAATGCAAGATCTCCTCCCTGTAACATAAAAAAAAAGTTTGGAAACTTTACCCAAATTCTTTATGATGTTTCACGGTTGCTTGACACAAATAATGTCTGTAAAAGCTTAAAACATATTTACTGCAAGAAATTTTATTAAATTGGCTCTCAGATATTTACATCACTTACAAATTTTGTTACTGTAACATGCAAAACCTTTACGTAACTATGGCATAAATTAACGACTACTTATTATCTTTCAACATAACAATATTTAGATAGCAAAATTTCGCTGATTAGATAAAGATATTTAATTGATTTTTAAGATAACAAAACTTTACTGCTAATTAATTAATTCCTGATCAGATAATTTGCAATTCTTTGCAATTTTCTTTTTAAACTTTCATTTTCAATAATTTATATATTCGCAATCGATGAAATTAACTAAAAAAAACCCATCAGTTTTAAGTCAAGTGTCAGCAAGTAGTTTTACGTATGGTCCGGGACCCTTTTAAAATTTTATTCAGGACCTGAAAAAATAGCTCACATTCCTTGCTAGTTTTTTATTTAAATTTTCCTTAATTTTATCTTCAGAAAACTATTTTTTAGCAACTAATTTGACTAATTCATACTTCCTAAAATAAATGTGGTGGTCCAGTTCTTGGCTGTCCGTGGTCCAGACCCAGATTGTGACTGCCAGTTTCCGGCCGGTAGTGTAAGGAAAACTGGGCAAGAATATATTGGTTAATGGCCCTTTACCTTTAAAGTTACGTCTTTAAAAGTTTCGCTCATTACTATAAAAATAATAATTAAAATTTTAGCGATTTCCAAACAGTAATTTAGATTAAATAACGATTTCCAAGCAGTTTGTAAAATATTCTAACAATATTTAATACCAAAAAGGCAAATTAAAAGGGTGGATAAATTGCAATTGTGATGAAGCTATCACAATACCCTCAGTTTTCAACCTTTTGGCCTTCGTATAATTTTCAATATTACTTTTATGACTGAGCTTTGTACCTATAAGTAATTAACTGTAATCGTTAGCCTTACGGAGCCAATTGCCCGGATAGACGCTCACATTCCATCGTTGACTCAGCTAGAGAGACGTAAGCAGTTTTTTTTTTTTGTAAAATCTGATTTCTTTTTCCTCATGCTCAATGAACCTGATTTTTCTTTCGACTCAACCACTCATTTTCAACTGGGATCAAGTAATGTTTTAACATTACTTGACTTATTAGACAACCTTAAAAGTGAATAATAACTATAGAGTTAATGATAGAAATAGATGAGAATAGAATGGAAGTTTATGGGTTTATTTAAAAGAAATATAAATATAGATCATTAAAATTTTAACGATTTAAAAAAAAAACAAATTAAAAGGGGAAATAAACTGCAATTCATATTATTTTATGGCAATGATTGTCTGAATATAATCTATAGAAATAATAAATAAATAAATAATAGACGAATTTACCAATTCCAAATAAAATCGGAGCTTCTGGTTTTTTCTTTCCCTTTTCAGGAATGTATCTAGAGGGATTAAATTTATGTGGCTCTTCGTATTCGTTCGGATCGTGATGAGCTGCCCAAGTATTAACCAACATAACCGACCCTTTTGGTATTCTGTATCCTTGAATAACAGTTTCTCCTAAAAAAAAGTCATAAAAGTAATGAAATAAAGTCATAAAAGTAAAGAACACTATAATATAAGAAATAATGCTATGAAAGGATGAGAGTGTTCGAAGAATTTTTTTAAAATAATAAGTTATTAATCAAAATGTCACCAATTTTAAAACCGTTTATCCTAACAAAAGTGCCTTTTTCCGTTACTATTACTATGATTGTAGTTTTTGTAGTTAAAAAATTGGAAAAAAAGGTTGAATATTGTTTAGGGAGCTATTCCAGAAAATATTTGGGATCACACGAATAGATAAATCAATTCTCCGCCATTCTTCGTAAAAAACATTATATGCCTGCTTTTGAGGTTTTATATAAAACCCTTTAAATTTTCTCATTCTTAAAACATTTCAGAGCTTTGCTATTATATTTTACTAGTGGGCTGTGCCCCCTGCTCGCTAACGCTCGCCAACCCCCAAAAATTGCTGCGCAATCTTATATGGTTTGCTGCGCAAACCAAGCTCGATTCGCTCGCTACTAACTTAGGTACATTGCAAATGCACAAAATTCTAAGAATTCAAAACAATCATTCAAATCCATATAACAACTTTTTTTTCTAAATTACGTCTTTTTAGTAAATACTAAGTCATTAAAATAAATTTGAATTCAAATAAATGACATGTAATTCGTTAAACCTATTAGAAATGTGCTATAGTATAAAATCTTAAGATAAAATTTCTAA